TTATTATTTCGTGTTGGCTGAGACTCACCTGTATTTCAGTGGAGTGTCAGAGAGCTGTCAGACCCCCCCCTGGCAGGTGCACATTGCGGCTATGTGCAACGGGAAGGATTCAGCCCCTTCTCAGTCCACAGGCTGTTGGCCTGGGAATGGTGTTCTGCAGGAGTGATGACAGAAGCTGAACAGGAGGATAAGGGTGTATTTCACTGAGGGGTTCCAACTTTCAGACCTGTTTTGTGAGACAGTTCAGTTTGGCCTCTGGACACTTACCCATCTCTTAAATGGGTTTTGGCCCTGCCTAAAGCACTGTAACATCACCTGCCTGTGGTCAGCCAGAATGAGTGTGTCCAGGAGTCTGGGACCTTCCCAAGGGTCTCTCTGCCACTGTTTTCTTAGAAGGTGTGGAGTTACAGTATTTAATCCAGCCACTACAGATAATCCTGCTCAGAGCTCAGCACAGATTATGCTCCTGTGCTATTTGTATGAGGCTGGGATGTCGGAGCATTGGTCCACACAGAAAAGGTTATATTGGCAAATAGTAACTCTTGAGAAAGCACCTAGAGTATAACTGGGGAAAAGATAAGTTTCCAAGCAAAGTAATCATTCTTTAGATTTAAAATACTCAGCAGATTTCAAAGTAAAGAATATCCTGAGAACAGTTCCTGGCCTCGCCTGTGTGTTGAGCTGTCCAAGGAAATAGGAGTGTTTATGGAGCAGAGAAGCTCTTGCAGTGTGGTGAGCAAGGATGGGAGGGTTTATTTCCAACCTGAAAGAGGCAGTTGGGCAGTTTGTTCCTTGGGAATTTTGTGAAGGAGAAGGGGGAGTTTTCACATGCCATAAACTCCAGACTTCTAGTGAGTGAGTGGGTTCTGGCATCCGGTGGAGCCTGGGGCTGAGGACGTACAGCTTGTCTTTGATGATGCTCCTTAGGTCTTCCTTGTACACTGCAAGATTGCTGACCCAGCCATGGATCCCTGAGTGCCTTACACAGCTCACTCGTACCACATCCACCCACCACGTTTTCACTGGTTTAGCTAAATGTGTCATTTAATGGATTTAACTGTGGGGGAGAAGTGCTGTCAGTGCTGTAAGCAAACAAAGTTAGTGACTTAGATGCATTAAAGCATAAATTGAGGAAAAAGAGGAGTATGGCCCCAGGAAAACAAAGGCAGGCATCAGGAGTGGCAGTAGGGCAAGACTTACAGTGTCATTTTGTCTTTTCATGATTTTCCTGTATTACTGCAAAACTATGTTGTTAAGAAGGTGTATTCTCATCTCCCTAACTCCTTTCTGATGTCGTATCAGCCTGGCAGGTAATCCTTCCCAGGGTTACGAGTGTTTTTAGAAGCAGAATGCTGAACCACCCCAGGTGCCTGAGTCCCCAGGTGTGTTCCTGGGGATCCCAAGGAGGCAGTATCTTGGGTTAGAAGGTTGCTACTAGTCACGGAAAGGTGCTGACAGCTTCCCATGGCATGGGAGGACACCCAGACACAGGCAGTGTGCGACAGCCTCTGTGCTGAGAATGGTGTGTGCAAATTGTCAGCCTGTTCTTGGGGCCATAATCCTTTCCTTCCTGCTGTCCCAGGTGCACTGGACCAAGGAGGAGAATTACATGTTCAGGCTCTCAGCATTTCGGGATCCCTTGCAGAACTGGCTCCGGGACAACCCACGTGCCATTTTTCCTGACCCTTTCTACCAGTGCGTGCTCCGTTGGCTGGACGAGGACCTGCCAGACTTGTCGGTGTCCCGTGAGCGAAACCGGCTGCAGTGGGGCATCCCCGTGCCCAGTGACCCCACCCAGACCATCTACGTCTGGGTGGATGCCCTGGTGAACTACCTGAGCGTGGTGGGGTACCCTGAGAGCCACGGCGCGTGGTGGCCGGCCGTGCACCACGTGGTGGGCAAGGACATCCTCAAGTTCCACGCGCTGTACTGGCCGGCGCTGCTGCTGGCGGCAGGGCTGGAGCCCCCTGAGCGCATCCTGGTGCACTCCCACTGGACTGTGCGGGGCCAGAAGATGTCCAAGAGCCTGGGCAACGTGGTGGACCCCGGCGTGTGCATGGGGCAGTACGGCGTGGACGGGTTCCGGTACTTCCTGCTGCGGCAGGGCGTTCCGGAGAGGGATTGTGACTACTATGATGAGAAGGTGGTGAAGTTGGTGAATTCAGAGCTGGCAGATGCGCTCGGGGGGCTGCTCAATCGCTCAACAGCCCCCAGCATTAACCCCAGCAACACCTACCCCTGCTTCTCAGAGCCCTGTTTCCCCAAGGTCCTGGATTCCAGAGAGGCCGGAGGCACAGGCAGGGCGTGTGCTGAGGACTACAGGCTCGTGGCAGCAGTGGCCTCGCTGCCTGTGCAGGTGGACACTTATTTCGAAGGCTTCCAGATCTACAAGGCTTTGGAATGCATTGCCCAGTGTGTGAGGCAGACCAACGGCTTCTTCCAGAGGCACAGGCCTTGGAAGCTTGACCGAAGGGATGCTGGGGAGCAGCTCTGGCTGGACACCATCCTGCACGTCACGCTGGAGTGCCTGCGCGTGTACGGGACACTCCTGCAGCCCGTGGTCCCACACATGGCAGACAAGCTGCTGTCCCGGCTGGCTGTCGGGCCAGGAGAGAGGCACCTCTCTGGTCTGGTGTTCCTGGCACGCTATGATGGAAAGCCATGTCCCTTTGAGGGGAGGCAGCTCGGACCTGACACTGGCATCTTGTTCCACAGGCTGGGCAAGTTGGAAACTATGAAGAAGAGAAAGCAAGAAGCTCAAGTCCCTGACAAACAGCTTCTGTGAATAAAAACTTCCAGGAATTCCTGGAAAACATTGTTAAAAGCACTTTCCTCCCATTCCTGGTGGTGGTGTGGAGGGGTGGGAAACTGACCTGAGCAGGGAGGATCAAGCAAGCCCTGAGGAGAGATAGGCTTGGTCCTGGACGTCCTTGGTGTTGTGTCCTCGCACAGGGAGATAGAGGAAGGGTCGCTCTGCAATGTCCTCACCTCACTTTTGGTCCACAGGTTTTTGGCCAGGTCGGAAGTAGCTGGGGGTGGTCAGAAATGGTTCTGGGGGCCCTGGTGCCCATTGGGCCTCTCAACTGAGCTCCCTTTGTGGGCCAAAACTAGTCTGAGTGAGCCTCAATGGAGACAACCCTGTGTAGCTGCTCTTTATTCCTGGGGCAGGACAGTGCCATGGTCAGACAGTGTGTCTCATTCAGCAGTGCAGGACCTGCAGATGTGACTAGAATGGGAAAGGGGGGCATGTGCTTCATCAAACTCATCTTTCTGAGGCTTTTCCAGTTGCTGCAAGGCGTAGTGCTCCCTGTTTTATGTCCATGCTGCTGGAAGCAGACGAGCACTGACACTCTGGGGTGGTGGTGACCACTGGGAATCTCTGGTAAATCCTTCCCAGCCTCTGGTTCCTGCAGGTCCCATCAGTGCTAGCACTGGAGGAGTCACCTTCCAGAGGCCCATTTTGGGGGTCTTTGGGTTCTTTTGGGATCACCTGGGCTGTGTGAGCAGGAGCTGTGCCCCATGTTCCAGTCAGTCCCCATGCCACTGTTGCTGTGCCACTGCCTGATGCTGTCCCAGTCCAGCTGACATGAGTCCCCTCATCCCCTCCTGCCATGGCTCTCCTGCAGATTGTCACCTGCACCCTTACTTCTGCAGTCCGTGTGTGCATGCTTCCTGCTGCAGCCCCGTGCCCTCGTGCCGTGGGTGCTGGCTCCCCACTGCCCTGTTTCTTGGGGCAGGAGGGACTCGTCCCCTTCCTGGTCTCTGATGCTGCCACACGGGGCTGTGGCTGCCCAGCTGGACATGAAGAGAGGGTCATTGTGGCACCGGCGGTTGGGATCCCGCTGC